TCGATCGATAAGATGAAGGTAACAATTCTGACAAACCATTTGTCCTTAGTCAGCCGGCTTCCTCCAGTACTTATTAAGGAAGTCCATAATAGAATCGTAGATCATAAAGGTAATTGCCACATCCAGAACAACTCGACTTAACCGGGGGACAGTACCTTTGTAGAACCTGAACTATGATTATCTGAATATTGGCAAAACGGTAAGTATCGGGCCCAGAGCAAAGCTACTGAAAATTGGGACCCATAATTCAAGCCGTGAAATCTCGACGCATTAATTTAAAGTCGATTTACTCACGCAAAGAAACCCTCTTTCTTCCAGATCTGCACAGCACAATCGATTGAATTTTTATATTTCTTTGCTTCCAAACCTTGCATCCTCGTTTTCACAACGTCAATAGGAGTGTTTCCTGGAATGTTGACAGAATAATGCCAAGAAATAACTATGCGAATAAACCCATAAAAACATACCGTATACGGAACAAAGACCCGCAAAGGCTCCCATGAGACCGGTGACTGGTTTGGATACCGTCTTCGAGCTGTCTCCGCCACGATACCAATCCTTCAAATGACAGTCTTTCATCACAAATGAATTACTTTGACATTTTTGTATAAAAACGTCATCATCATTAGAAAAACTGTATGGAAAGCACCTTTAACGTTTCCATCACAAAGAATCGTATGGCTTGATTTGAACCCTGCTTGGCCATTGTAGCTGTGACTCCCTTGTATATGCCCTGAACAGTTCTACATTCCAAATGTGATGAGAATCTTTACATGATCAACAACCTTGCTGCTGATAACCACATTTTAGATTTGTTTGGGAATTGTTTTGTGGTTTTCGCTGCATGAACTTTGCCGTGCTAGTGCAAAGTGACAGTGACAGTGACATCATCGACTTGATGTCGCACTTTTATTTGTACCAGAATTGAGTTGCTTTTCATACCAATAGTATAAAATTTATCTTACAGACAAAACACCGTCTTCATATAAGACCTGAGCTCTGGCTTAGCCATTTTTTGCGCGCTGGAGAACGTTTTGACCTCAGAACAAGATGCCCAGATGCCGTAAAACTTCTCGGGCACGGTACTTTTTCACAGCAGGTATGTCGATGTATCCCCTTCAGTGAACTCTGAGGGGTCCTACAGAAAGTTGTAAAAAAATGACAAAATAGTCGTCCTCACTCCAATTCCTTCACTCTTGATGATGCAGCCGACTCCATGGAGGAATCCCTTGAATCGTGGCTTTGGTTGGATCTGGTCGTGGATGAACTTCACTTTAACCGTTTCCATAGGTGTGACGGCAAAAACGGCTTCAGAGAGACCTAAAATTGGGACTTGGTTGTAATAAGTACTTAGGAGCTCTAGAAGTAATCACTCTATAAAAAATAAGAGAAAAAAAAAGGAAAAAAGAATTAGAAAAATTATTCTATATCTCCGTGCTCATTTGAAGAATAAAGTCGTATTTATTTGAAGAGTATTCTATTTGAAAATTTTGAAAAAA